TAGAAACAACGGGGCCTACAACTAAAAATAATAAACAAACATATGACCCATTTATCCTTATGTAAATTTGATTTTTAATTGATTTTTATTGGGCCCAATCTAATTTGGAAAAGCCAACGACACACTCTACTAACCTTATTTCCTTGGGTTAAATTTTTGTTGTATAACACTTTCAACATTTTAATTTCTACCCAATTCAATATATCTCTAAATTTACAACATTGGGTCATAGACTTAAAATGGACCAAACAATGTTTAATGAGAGTCATGGAAAACTTGGATCCAAGACACTCCCCTCTCTTTTTATACTTTTTTGCAAAAGTAAACACTCAGTGCACACAAAATTTTTCTAAGGTAAGTGCAACTTAATAGGTCAAGAAATTGAATTGTGCTTAACATAGGTAGCTCACACTTACCCCAAACTTAGTGATTTGCACACTCTCATAATGTTCACTTAGCACAAGAGAGCTATTTTAACTCAATCAACTCTTTCTTTTTATTTCACAGAACAAATTTTCCATTGATTTTAAGAAGACAGCACTAACACATGGACAGTAAAAAAAAATAATATTAAGACTCCTACGTAGCATCTAAAAATTCAAGCTCACTACAACAAGTTGAAAACTACTCAGAAACATATCAGCAATTACACACACTAAACTAACCTAAGCTACAACATCTACAAGTACATATACTAACTAACTAATCAATTAAACTCCTTTTTTATTTCACCCAGCATCTAGTAAAGAAATGAAAATCTTCTCTTTATTCACATGCCTTGTCTAGTAGTGCTTCAGCCATTTAACCTTACTTGGAAATAATTTGATTCTTATCTTCAAATTTAGAACAATTTGTCCTGTATCCAACCATTTGATTATTTTCTTTTGAATCAAATCTTTCAAGAGTGGATTGTCTGGTTTAGTCTCTATATGATTGAAGCTGCCTTATTCTAAGTTGGTATTTTCTCTATTTAAAAACACATGATCATTAACAAGATGATCCCAAACAGAAATAGCAGAACAATTATTAGAATCCTCATCCATGACCTTCAAGACATTAAAAGTCATCTTTTCCTTATTAACTCCCATGGTTAATTCTCTTGTTTTAAATTCAATTATAGCATCCTCTTTAACTAAGAATGGCCTATCCAACATAATAGGCACATCCTTGTCAGCTTCAAAATCAACTATTATGAAATTTGTAAGAAAAAGAAACCTATAAATTTGCACTGATTTGTTCTCTAATTTTCCATCATGGTGTGCAAGTGACCTATCTACTAATGCACTTGAAATTAAAGAAGAACCTGGATTTTCCAATTTGGGTGGCAAATTGTTGGAGAAACAGTGCTCTTGTTGCTGCTCTTGGAGTCTTTGAGGAAACTGGATCTGTCTTGCCTTTGATTTAGGTTGATGAGCCTCAATGTTGTGCATAGGCTTGTCTAATCCATTTGATTTCAATGCTGCCCTTAATGGTTCAGCAGTGTTTTCCTCTTCTTTTTCTTCTTCTTGATGTGAAGTTTGAATGGTCGATGGTTCGGTTGAAGGTGCATCTTCCTCTTGTTTCCCTTCCTTCTCCATTAATTTTCTCATAATAGATGGCTTTATAACAGGCTCAAGTTGATCAACTTCTCTGCCATTCCTCAATTGGAGAGTCTTACTAGCTTCCATTCCTTCCACTCTTAGTATCTGAGTGTCATTTGGTAGTGCCTCCAATGATTTGCTACTAAGGGAAGAAACAAGCTGTCCCATTTGTCTCTCAAGGCTCTTCAAGATAGCTCCATGACTTTGAAGCATAGCTTCATGGTTTTGTAGCATTTGATTCATCCACTGCTCATTTGGAGGTTGAGCTTCTGCAACATGTTGCTCTAGCTGTTCAACAAAAGGAGACTGCACAAAACAAGGTGAGTAAGGTTCATCCGGTTCAAATGACTGTTGCCATCCATGATAAGGCTGCTGATATAGGTAACTTTGGCCTTGATTTTGGGCAAAATTACATTCTTGGTTCAGCCATCCTTGCTGATCAAATTGGTTGGGGTTGTTGTAATTGTAGTTGAAGCCACCCACATAACGAACAGATGTTGGGTTGCTGGGACATTCTTCAAAGGCATGAGCACCATAGCAAAGTGAGCATATAGGTGCTATAGCAACTATTGGAGTAGGTGCTGGTTGCTTGGATTCTTCCGTAACCATGACCAAATCCTTTATTGTGTTATGCAAAGCTGCGAGTTGAGTTGCCAATGCCATTGTGATCCCCCTGTAGAGTGTTTAACAACTAAACTTTTTTTTTTTTTTTTTTAGATTTGGCAGAATGCTAAGTGTATCAATCAGTTTTCATAGTAAAAAATTATTGATCTGCAAAATCTACAAGGAAAATGTAAGTTCAAGAAAAATTAAAAATGAAAATGAAAGAGAACCAATTCAAGAACTAAAAGACAGAATTTTAAAAAGAAACTAAATTAAACACCGTTCCCCGGCAACGACGCCATTTTGTTGGGTAGTATTTTTCTCAAGAGAAAGAGTTATCGTTCTCAGGGAACAGGTTGTTTAGTTTTCCCTTTTTTAATTCCTATTTCTAATTTCTTGAAATTAAGTGATCAATCTTTTAAAACTAAGAAAAGACTAAATCAAACAAGGTATTTATCAGATTTGTATTAAACAAAATTTAACAGAGAGATATCTAATCACAAATGTATCAATTATAAGGTTCTAGAATTCTTTGAATCATGGATGAAGGAAAAATTTCGCATTCCTGCGTTTTATAACTGCTACGGCACTTTAATATCAGAATTCGAATTACTATGGCTATTTTATCTGAAACTTCCCAGTTCCAGATTTTAATCTTTAGAATGATCTTTTCCCAAAGTCTTCTAAATCTTTAAAAATTGTATCAAAGACCTCCTTGAGTTATCCCTAACCTCAAGGGTTCAATTAACAAGGGACATAACCTGATTTCCCAATCATAGCTATGCTAAAATTATTCAAGACCCATTCCCATGGTGTTCTTGAACTTAAAATCAAAATCTTGCTAATCAAATGAAACTAAAGCAAGCCATCACAGTATTCAGAAAATTAAAGATCACCCAATCATCGTGAATCCCAGAAAGGAAAAAATCAGAAACTCATATTCAAAAATATTACAAATCTAAAAGTAAAGAAACATGCATCACAAACATTCATGAAAGAAAACTCAAGGTAAAGTTACAAACCGGTTCTTAAAGAGTCAAAGTTACTAAACTAGAGCTAGGAAGAAAAAGATCAGAAATGTGAAAACAGTAGCTCGTATGCAGATCTGTGGTTTCTTTCCTTGAAGTTGCGTTGTCAATGCACTTCGAGATCAAGAATTGAAGAACAAGCACCAGCTTTCAAGACAATTTCTTAACACTCAGATTCGAAGAGAGAAAATACAAAATTCTAAATGTAAAACTGAAACTAACAAGTACGGTCTCTGACCCTAAATGACTCAGACTTCTATTTAACTAAAAACTAAAAAGCTGCCTCAAAATGCATTGCTGTCCATCCATCTCTTTGTCCATCCAATGGTTCAGATTTGATCTTGCTTTCAAAAAGTTGATCTTGCTTTCAAACTGCAGTAAAAATAACAAAAGAGAATAGTAAATCATCAAATTACCTCTTTCTCTCTCTTTTTTTTACCTTTGGGCTGATTGGTACTCATTTGGCCCATTACCATGCACTAATATCCAGCCTTCACCTCAAATATTATAAAAACTAAGCCATTAAAATTAGTCATAATTGATAGCTAACAGCTCATACCTTGCATAGTGATAGGGGCCCTTGTTGTCGGGGTCAGCAGAAAGACAACTGGGGTCCCGTTCTCAGGTGAGCGGGCGGAGGTCCGGGGGTAGCGCTCCCAGGCCCGTAGAGGCTAGGTACTGTTGTGTGCCTTTGATTTATTATAATTTTCTTAGTAGTTTGGACTTGGGCCCATGAATAGCTACTGAATTTTCTAATCCTATTTATATTTTTCTTGTAAACCGAGTGACTTGTAACGAATGACGGTGAGGTGAATATAGTACAGACATGTTAAACGTAGCCTATTTTGGTTGAACCAGGATAAATCGCCGTGTCAATCTCTCTTCTCTCTTCTCTTTTCTCTTTTCTGTTTTGTCGATTTTGTGTGATTATCGATTTCCAACATAGAAAAGATAATTGTTATGCGAATTACCCATTCAATGGTGAGATAGAAAGAGTTTGTAGATTTACCTTGTGGTCTTTCTTTCCTTTTCTCCTTTCCCCTAGGGGTATCAATTTAGTTAGTTGTCTTGTTGATTGGGGCTGCTGCCCCCCTTCAACCACCAAAAAAATAAAATAAAAAATGTAATTGAGCTTTTGAAAATCAATTCTCTTTCAAGATTTAAATGAATCCAAATGTGCATTATATTTAGGCATCAACAAATACGTGAATTAACGTGGTTGTTTTTAGCATAACCAATCTCTCAAGTTTACATCTTGATTCTTGAATACGTAATTGTTTTAAAAATTTGATATTGATTTTGTAGGTGTTCACGGTATTAGGTATGTATGAATTTGAGAAATAGTTTTGCACCATTTGAACAAAATCAATTTGGTTGTCCAATTTTTTTTTTCAAAAAAAAAATGCTAATTGGAATGGGCTTATTGCTATGGTTATGTGTGTGGGACAATGATTATGGCTTGGTGGGTGTGGGGTGTGAGTGAGAATTATAAGCTTGTGATGTGAAACAATCATGGTTAGAGTTTTGGTACAAGTACTTAATCTAAACCTAAATTTTCTAATTAATTTGGATTGGTTTTTCTAGTTTATCCGGTCAACTTGATCAAATGAACAACCCCACTACTATTGTGTAGAGTGGGCTTAAACCTAACAAGTATGTTTTGGGCCTAAGCACAAGCCCATCTATTTGTTTGGTTTCCCTTTAGTAGCACAAAAAGGAAAATACATTATGCAAACTCATAAAGAGATTCTTGCTAAAACATACTCAAACTCACAAGAACAATTTCCATTTATTTGAAATCTCTGTGATATAACATCCATATGATTAAAAATCTTGGACACAAAATCACTAGCAGAGATCTATTCACAGCTTGCAATTAAATTACTTGCAAACTTCTTCTGCCTTGTATCTGGATATGACAAAATGATTGAAATGAACAAATAACCAATTCATTGAATCTCCATTTGAGTTTGGATGCCACCATCCTTCATCTCAGGAAGGGACCAAAATAGGCCAAAAATCCTGCAATCCAAGTTCCCACAGTTAGCTCCAGAGATATTACATGCACACAATGACACAAATCATTACATCTGCATGTGTCACATGACATGAATTTACCTACTAGGCACTTAAAACTGCATCAGTGGCTGATTTAACTGTGATGTTAGTCACATTTGCTTGGTCTGGGGAAAAAAAGGTGATCAAATTTTAGACATGAATTACAAAATTCATAGTTTATAAGAATGGTATAGAATTTGAGTATTTATGTAACCATGGGATAGTTTTACAAATTCTACTTACCAAAGGGTGTTCTCTGTACAAAGAAGCAAGCCCCAATAACAATGTAGCATAGCAGGAGAATAAGTCCTTTCATGTAGTGAGAAGAACCATCCTATAAATAAGATGGTGGTTTTGTCAATATTACTTATATTTCATTGAGAGATTAAGTGAAAATTCAAAGTAAAAATATGGAGTTTTTGTTGGTTGATATCATGTTAAATGTACCTGTAAAGTGAAGGATGTGGCTATTATTGCCAAAGCAAGAGAACCTGTCTCTAAGAGGTTGAAGTTGAGGTCCATTTTGACACCCATTATCCAAGCAACAGTCACGCATAGAGGAACCTATATTGTAATTGCATAAGCTTTCATCACTCCAAAAAGCAATTAATAGCTAAATGAAAGTACCCGTTTACATATTAAAGGTGAGAGTATCTTACCACAAACATGCTAATTTGAGTTGCAGAACCCAATGCAACACCCAATGAAATGTCCTGCAGTCATGGCATTACTTTAGTTTCAGTGAACTGATGTTATTGCTTGGACAATATGAATTTATGTTAAATGAAATGAAGTGTGCAATTTACAACACTCTTCATGTTCTCACCAGTTTGTTCTTGAAAGCAAATATGACTGCTCCTGCATGTTCAGCTGCATTGCCAACAATTGGAAGCAAGATTATGCTGAGAAAGCTAACAGACAAACCCCATGAATCTGATGCATCCTGTTAAGATTGACATTTTTTGTTATCAATAGTATTATTACAATAGTAAAAAATGTAATTCATTGCTTTTTCTTGAATAGATGTCTAAACATTTTAAGAGAAAATTTTTAGGTCAATTACCTCAATTGTATCCACCACGTATTCAGACAACAAAGCAATGAACACAGTCATCCCAACTAGCCAAGCAAAGCCACTCCAGAATCCAATCACAGCTTGTTCTTCTGAAGCATTGTTGCCATCTCCAACTTCCTGATCAATGCATGATGTTAAATATTACTTGTAAGATGATATTGACATAAACTAGAATAACAAATCAACTTCACCATTTCATAAATCAAGAAAGCATACCTCTTCAGCTTCAAATAATTCCCGGTGTGTCCATAGTTGAAAAACAAGGTAAGCAAAATATGCAATCAACATCACAATACTAGAAGCTCTTGACAAGTAGAGAGATGGGTCTGCAGTGAGAGCAGGTGAGGCAGCACCATATCTGAACAGCATTGGAAGCAAGTGGCACAACAATCCCAGAAGCAGCATAAGTGAGTTCACATCTGCTTGTCTCTGCAAATTCAATATCCAACAAGAAATGCAGAAAATTTAATGCTTAACATTAGTCATTATTCCACTATAAAGACTATATATGAAGAACTATAAATATGCACTCATTAGATGAAACTGTGAAAGGATTTTGAGGCCTTACTCTGTCATATTTTTGTTCCGCTCTAAGGTTTGCAATGCCACCACAGAATAGAGAAGTTCCAAGAACCAGAAGAAGGTTTGAAAGGATGGAACCCAAGAGAGAATACTTAACCACAGCAATTTTGTTACTACTGAGTGCAAGTATTGCTATTACAAGCTCAGTAACATTCCCACATGTTGCATTTAGAAGCCCTCCAACTGTAATTGAGAATTTTTAAAACATTTAGTTCCAATGACACCATAATCAATTTTACTCTTTAACAATTTGTAAGAATAAATTTTCTTCATTCTAGTTTTAACACTTTGATTTTACTAATTTCAAGATCATAAATAGCACATGGTTTGTCTCAAAAAACCAATTTTTATAGCAATTGGCTGTCAAAAGAGTCTAGCAAATTTTGATGTATATTTTATGTTCCAAATTCAAATTAATTAACAATGAATAATTTTATTGTGATAAACTCTCAAAAATTGATAAACTGCAGGTTCATACCTGTGGGACCAGTGTAATAGGCAACTTGTCTGCAATATTTGTAGTAATTAACAATCACCAACACAGAAAATAGAAAAAGAATCAGCCATCAACCCAGAAATGAAAACGAATGAGGCAAAGATAAACAAGAGTGCAATAAGTACTTACTCAGTGATGAAGCTTACACGTTCAGCAAGTGGGGTAAGCCCAACTAAGCTCAACACAAAAACCAAGGGCTGTTTCCAATAAAAAAAATATAATCATATCATAACATATTTTAGCAAAAGACCATAGACAAATAAATTTGCAACATATAAGAGGCCAACATGAAGTAGTGGAAAAGTTATTCCTTTATAATTGAGATGTCATAGTTAGAATTTGGAAAATATTCTCTTTCCAAATATGCATATGTTAAAAATTATCCTTGAAATCTCACTCAATAACTTAAACTTTTGAATTAAATTTGATTTTTACGGTCTTTAAACTATGTATAAGAATTGTCCTCACCCCATCTTTCGTGACGTCTAATGGAGAGTGATTTTTAATTAAAAACATCCATCAAATTTATAAAGAAAAAAGTTTTCGATGTTACTTTAGATAACTTTATTTAATGTTCATCAAAACGACGTCATTTTGGGGTTGAAAAATTAAAAAATTAGAGTGATAAAGACTATTATAACCCTGAAATAAATTAAAATTACAAAAATACCATGATTTTCGTCCCAAAACGACGTCGTTTTGATGAATATTAGATAAAGTTATCTAAAGTAACATCATAAAAAACAAACCCAATTTTATAAGTCTCACTCTTCCAAAACATAATAAGAGGAATAAGAGGAACTCACTCTTCCAAAGCCATAGCATTGAGAAAAGATGGCAGCAGGAATGGCAGGGAAGAGAATGGAAAGCTTGGTTCCAAGAATAACCTCTTGGAAGTTAACAAGCAAGTTTCTAAGCAAAGCACAGCGAACCTTGGACACAAGAGTGCGGTCAGATTTCTTGCGCAATGAAGATGATGACATGTTGTGTGCAGTGCGGCCATGCTTCGTCTCCTTGCTCAACCCCTTGATGTTTCCATTCTCCAGGAGCCATGTTTGTTCTTGTAATTGGTGAGAACCCATTTGCTAGTAACTCAGTCTCTGTAACACAAGCAAAGGACAAAGCCAGTGTAGATAGATATGATGATGGCTTTTGTAGAGAAACTACAAAATGATATATAGTATAGTGTACTTTGTGACTGTCACAATAGCTATCTCTCTAGCTCTGCATGTATTGGTTTTTGTTCATGTATGATATATAGAAGTTGAAGGTGGCAAAACCTTCCAAAAGTATGAACCTTCCGCGTAGTTTCGTGAGTATTTAATATAGAAGGAATTTAAAAAAATTTCTGTTTAAAATTTACTTATAGATATACAATATACCATTACAAGAAAATTGGTTTTTAGGGCGTTGAAAGTACTTATCTACCAACTATTAATTTAAGTGGTAAAAATTAGTATGTACTCCTAATATATGTTAATTAGTTTCATGATAATCATTTGTTTTTGTAGTAGGAGATTATTTCTTAGAGATCTCGAGTTCAAATAATGAGAAGGAAGAAAAAGGTGTCTCGTGGAATTGGAAAAATTTCAGATAGAAAAAATCATGGAAAGATTGTTTACCGAATTGTAATATCAGGAAACAAAATATGTACAATCCCCTAATTATAGACTGCAATTAATAGCGGATTTGATGTACCATATATTATACAAAGAGAAGGAAATTCTTGAGGGAGAGAATCAATTCAAACCAAAAGCTTAAGTTGTTGGGTGATGGTTTTTTTAACGGTTTATATTATTTTCTAACACACCTTCTCATGCAAAGGTCATTTGGGCTTAAAGCATGATGTTGGTTTTCTTGCAGTCTATCAAGAAAAACACATTTGTTCCTAAGATTATGACTTTTTGGCCTCTTCACTGTTCAATCAAGGGAAACACATTCGTTCCCAAGAATGAAGACCAATTGCGCAAGTACATGCATCAAGTAATAAAGGATAGTATTATGCCCACATTATTGTTCCCACGGAGAAAGTATTACTAATTGATATTTTAAGCGACATTAAAGAATAAAAAAAATAGGTTAATATTATTGAACTGTTTTGGCAAGTTATTCCCAGTTATCACATTGGCGTCCCGTTATGAAAAAGGTTCAGATAAATTTAAAATAGTTCCTCGCGTCATTATATATTTCAAGTCCTTCCCAATTCAGGGAGGAACGACAAGTCATAGGGAAAAGTATAGTTATTGTGTATGTATAAAGAAAACAAAATAATCAAAAATAAAGGAAAGCACGTTCAATGAATAACACGCGTGACATGATGGTTGAACAATAGTTAAAAGAAAGGGAATAGATCCACTGATCCATTGTTAAACCTTGATGTAATCTAGGCTCAAGACCTTGTCCACTGGACTTGTTCAAGTCTCTTTAGTCTTAACTCTGATTCCTCAGCTTATGGGCTGAATGGTATACGAAGTCCCATATTCCTATGGCGACTTCATTCCCGACGCTTACTCTATGCAGAACCTCGGTGAATGAGGAGGTCCCTTATTTCTAAGGCAACCAATGAAAGTGTTTCCACACTCTTCACCTTCCTCCTTTTGTTCAGCTGTCTGAAATCTCTTCTTTACGAAATTTTATTTCTCAGTTATGTTCAAGTTCCGTTGATACAAGATATTAAAATACTTAAACAACAGAAATCTATATGGTTCAGTATAAGAGATTCAATCACAGAGATATAATAATTTAACAGCTTTTATATTCCAAGAAGAAGTTATCTCATTCTTAAAGACATGGCTGAAAATATAGACGAAGTTTTATCAACTTGAAATCTCATAGAACCAAGATACAAATTGATGAAGACGAGTTGGTAGAAAAGATATTACAGACTTAAAATAAAGAGAAAAACCAAGACTCAATAACACATTACAAAGGGGAAAACTAAAATGGAGAAAAATGGATTTTTACTTAAAGGGGGAAGAGAAAAGAATAGGGTATTATCCCCCAAAGCTTGCTATTGTTGCCTTTGTTTGATCATCAATTTATAGGATAAGAAGACAATGGCATTCTTGTGATTAGTTCAGGTTGTTCCTATACCGTTGGATTGAGGACTTATCCTCTTTTCTCAATCAAACAGAGGCAAATGATCTGTTTGTGATTAGGGTTGAGCTATTTCTTCTCTTTTCCTTTCCCAAGGACGATTTTTTGACACGTGAACGCATCCAGCATATTTGTCTGCGCTGTAGTATGTTGCAATGTCCTTCTTTGTTTTTGTCGCGTGCTTCTGTCCTTTTTGTGTGCATTTTTTGCTCTGCTACGCGAGCTTTATTGTGATTTTTCAGAGTTGACTGTAAAAAGCAAAAACAACCGTCATCTGAAAAAGTTAAAGTAAATGATAGTTCACTCTTATCTTCTTTCTTTCTTTTTCCTTCTTTTCTCGTTTAAAGTCGTTCCCTCCTTCAAATCAACATTTATTGTCTTTAGCTATTATTTATAACAAAAATTTACTAAAAGGAGGGCGAAATAACTTGTGTTCCGCGGTGGGAACGAATTTTGTCCCATCAAATACCCCAAAACTTAACTGTTGCTCGTCCTCGAACAATCTTCTTGCAACTAGTTATTCAATTTGAACAGAATCAAAGCAACAATTACAAGTTAAATATCAAGGAACAAAGTTCTCAAAACAACACATTCTTGTGTTATCTTACAAGAAAAGCAAGATTTCAACCAAAATCATGCAAGGTTATTGATCCATATCTTGTCAATCACTCATGGTTACTGTTTCACTTATTGTTCCGGAGAATTATGATTCCTTAAACTTGGATTGCTTTTGTTTTCCTATGATTCATTTGTTCTCTTCAATCAAAGGGGCTTTTAAGGCTTGTAATGGGGCTTAAGCTTGGGTGGTTGTGTTTGGAGATTGGTTACTTTAGAGCAGGAATAACTGATCTCTTATTCTTTTTCGCGGGAACACTTTTTATGAATTTTTTGGGAACACTTTTGTTTCTGACTGCTTTCTTCTCTCCCTTTGGGGAAAATATATTTCTTTTTTCTGCTTTTTATTTTGGCCATTCCTCAAAAGTCTTTGGACTTTTCTTTGTTAATGTTCTTGATTGTTTTGTTTTTTGTTTTTCCTTACTATAATGGATGGAAATCATGATGATGGAAGATGGTGATGAATGTTCTGGTTGGATGAGGGTGACTATGGAATGATGAGGATGCTGGCTATTTGGCTCAAGCTTAGTCGAAAGATTGCCCCTGTCCTTTTGAATATTCCATGTGATTCTGTAGTACTAACAGTATTAATACAAGTTCGGGGACGATAGATAAAAATTCTTGGGAATGCTCTCTCAAAGAAATTACATGTTTGGCCTTTCGTTCCTTACCTTGAAAACTCACTCGGATCAAAACCTCAACAATCTTAAGATTCAAAGTTTTCCTTACTTTTTCACCTTTTTCAAAGATTCTGCTCTTAAATCAACCTTGCTACTTAATGCTCAAATGTTTTTGTTTTTTCTTTCCATGCAAACAGGTGAACAAAGGTAAGAGAATCACTTAAAACACAACAACAAGCTCCATAATCGTCAAAGTGAATAAACAACAAATAATGGAATCTTAAAATTGGAATAAACACAGTAGACAAAAAAGTAAAGGGATAGAAAAATAGTGACAGTTTCTCTTCTTTTTGGTCTTTCCTTCTTCTTCTTATTCCTTCCTTTGTTTCCTTATTTGAGATGGCTATTTTTGTAGGTTGAATGTCACATCAGTATGATCATTCACGTAAAGTCTCATTATGCTTGTTTTGCCATAGCCTTTTCGATAGCTTGGAAAAGTTCTTCATCCTTCTTCTTTTGCTGTTCTTGAAATTTGATAAGGGAAGATGAAATGTTATTAACAGTTTCCTTCATGTTAGATGTCATTTAGTCTATCCGATCTTGAGAGACATCAGTTCATTGAGGAACGACACTCTTTAATTTGTTCCTTAGTATCCTACAAATTTCCCCAAGTCCCCAATTCTAATTCTCTTATGGCAGTTAAAGGCAATGCCTGAGGTGGGATTTTGGTTTTTGTGGTGGTTTGCGGTTCATCAACATATGTTGGAGTTGATTGAATTAGAAAAGGTGAAAGTGTAGGAGTGGGTTCTGAGGTAGGCAGAGGAATGGTCGATAATTTTTCAAGAGCTATGAGAACATTCTGAATTGGAGTGGTGGAAGAGGGACAAATCATAGTTTTGTACTCTAGGAATACAGGGACCTGGGTTTGTTTTCCCAAGTTGATGGGGGATTGGGTTCAACAACTTTACCCTTTCTAATGGCTGTTTTTTTTTTTACTTTTCTTCTTCAGCAAGTAATTACTGATATGGCCTTTCTTTTTTCTTTGGTTTCTTCCTCGATCTTCTTTTCTTCCTCTGTTTGTTGTTGTTGTTATTTCTCTTTTGTAGGTGTTCTAATTGATCTTGTGGTTCAACAAGTGATTCTGACATTGGAGAAATTGAATGTTAAAAAGGCTTTTGTTGAGGTTCCTCTTGTTGTTCCTTGGTTATGTTTCTTCTCCTCTTTGCCAGAGGCTCTTTATCTTCATTCTCCTCTGGCTCATATAGTTGAATAGGCTTTTCTGAGGTTGTCCCTTCTGCTCTAGCTGGTAGTTGGCTGTTGAATTTCCTCTTGATCCTTTTCGAGGACCTTTCTCCCTTAACAGGGGCTGATTTTGAGGTAGGTGCTGCAGACACCTTTTTCTTTTTGGCTTTAGTGGCAATAACCCTAGGTTGGGCATGTTGACAGGTACAGGTTGGTTTGGGAGAGGTTTCTTTTGAAGACTTCCTATTCTTTTCATTATCCATTAGCTTGGATGGTTCAACTTTATTTTTTCACTATCTTTTCTTTCTTGATAGAGGGATATGTTGACTTTTTAGATGGAGTGGAAGAGGACATTTTACCTATGTTTTTCCTTCTGCTACTTGACGTCGCTTCTATTTTCACAGGTGTTTGCTCTGACATGTTTATGCCTCTCTTCAGGGATCCCCAAGTAGATAAATTGCTAGGTGTACCAACAAACTCCTTGTTGTTATTAGGAAAAGTTTCCAGTCCAACATCTATGCAGAATTTTGTGACAAGGTAGGGAAAACAAAAATAGCTCCTTTGAGCTCATTTTTGAAGTTCTAGTGTATAAGAGAAAAAGCATCGAAAGGTTTCTTCTGCATAATGCAAAAGATTTGTAT